ACGAAATGCACCATTTTGCTATCTTCTGTGACTCTTAGCTCCCTAAACCTGGTGGAACTGTACTTGGAAACGTAAACGTTGCTGTGGAAAGCTATTGAAATCCACGAGGGAAGACAAAAGTTGAGGCAACAGCCTCTTTCTCGGACAATTGTTTCAAAGAGGGATTCTTTTTTTTTTTTTTTAAGTTCATTTATTTATTTTGAGAGGGGGAGAGAGAGACAGCACAAGCAGGGGAGGGGCAGAGAGAGAGGGCAGGGGGGAGAGAGAATCCCAAGCAGGCTCTTGGTTTGCAAAATTCTAACTGTACCGAGGGGCGTGGGTTGCAAGCATGTTTTCCTTTAATCCCAAACCTCTATAATTTCCTGGGCTCTGGTTCCTCCGGCCAGAGGGAAAGCCCCAACCAACAACTTATGTCATCTTCCAGAAAGATGCTATCCTCATAACAGCATAAATGGGGACATACCATATGCACAGTTGGTCATCCTGATTAAATTAATACTGCATTTTGGAGATTGTTCCATTTCAACTCACATACACTCTACCTCATTATTTTTAATAGCTGTAGAGTATTCCATTATAAAAGTATATCATTATGTACCAGTAATGACAGTCAAGCTATTTCCTAAATTTTTTTTAAGTTTATTTATTTATCTTGAGAGATGGAGGGTGAGCAGGGGACGGGCAGAGAGAGAGAGAGAGGGAGAAAGAGAATCCCAAGCAGGCTCCATGCTGACATGACGTGGGGCGCGATCCCATGAACCGTGAGATCATGACCCGAGTGGAAATCGAGTCGGACGCTTAACCGACTCAGCCACCCAGGTGCCCCTAAGCTAGTTTCTGAATTCTTAGGACAGGATCTAATTCTGATAAATGGCCACACAACTTACACAACTGAGTTAAAATGTAGTTATCAGCTTACCATTCGTCTCCCCGGGGCACACTCTGTCATTCGCTGCTCTGTGAAAATGCACATGCCAACTGGTGGAGTCGGTACCAAGCTCTGCGATTTGTGGGCCAAAAAGGCAGACTCCCGGGTCAAAACTGCCTGTGTTCCATTCTTGGTTCTGTTCCTTGCCCTCTGAGCAACCTTATGCTACTCAATCACCCTCTCTGTGCCTTAGTTTTCCCATCTCTCCAACACTAATCGTGGTAACTGCTTCATGGGACGGTGAATATCAAGGGAGATCATCAAGGCTAATTACTTACCGCAGCGCCTGGCGCAGATGTTGAAAAAGTGTCAGCTACCCCATCTATGAGCCATTGGCTAAGTCGTAAACTATGACAGTAACAAGATGCCTGACTCAATATGCGTCCAGAAGATTAAAGGGGAGGGGGCGCCTGGGTGGCTCGGTCGGTTTAGCAGTTAAGCATCCGACTTGGACCCAGGTCATGATCTCGCGGTCCTCAAGTTCAGGCCCCGGGTGGGACTCTGTGCTGACAGCCCAGAACCTGGAGTCTGTTTCGGATTCTGTGTCTTCCTCTCTCTCTGCCTCTCCCCTGCTCGCACTCTGTCTCCTTCGAAAATAAATAAACATTAAAAAAGAAGAAGAAGATTGAAGGGGATTTTTTTTCTTTGATCAATTACAGGAAATTACTATTAGCTGACACGCCATGTGTAAGAAGCAGGCTGCATTGTTGTGTAGGGTTTGCAAACTGGGAATCCTTTTCAGACCATCTCTGCTGTAACTCCTTAGGAGCCTGTCTACCCTCTCTCTTTCCAGAGGTTACCTCACAGAATGCTGTCGCCCATCAACACCTCTCACAGGAGTATCATGAAGATACTTTGTTTCTTCCTCAGGATTGTCCTTCTTCCTCTGTCCTTCTTCCCTTTTTGGAGGGTGTGGGTGGGAAAATGGAGGTGGTAAGGGGATTTTGCTTACGCTCTTGGAAACTTTTTTTTTTTTTTTTTAACATAAGTGCTTTTAAAAATGATGGAAAATAAACAGGCACAAACCAACCCACAATCCCGGTTCTCTCTGCTTTGATCTCTCCAAGCCTGTCTGTGTAGTTACATAGTGTGAAACACTTCCGTTTCATCCAAGGAGAGACGGTTGTCTCTAACAAGGATCAAAGCGCTTTGCTCTGCTCTGGGTCTACGTCTGAGTTTCCGAGTCTGGGCTCAGCTGCACTGTAAAGATATACAAGAGAAACTTTCACTGATGTGAAAGTCAAAGCTCCCACATCCAGGGAAAGCCTTTGTGAACTTCAGGGATTCATACTTTCCATGTGTCAAAAGCTTTGAAATATATACACTGTATGCTTTTTTAAAGAGATTGTGGTTTATGTGTTACTATGCTCTCCGGATCCTCAGAGGGGAAGTAGGAACAATTCTGCCACCTTCTCCTACAGAATTCTTGGAAACAAGTCATAGAACCTATGAGACAGAAGCTAAAATGCTAAATGTGGACATTTTTCAAAGAAGGATTTTAGTAGAAGACAGGTGCCCATCTTACGAGCAATGAGGTTCTATGACATTGTAAGAGCAGGGGTCCAACCGTCACTCGCTGCTCAGGTTCCTGCCTCATGTACCGTCTCTATCGTTGTGTGGGGCACTCACTTATTTATTGCTTCCTGCTGTGAGCTGGTGACCTTGTGGTACGATTTATGTTCCCAAGGGAATGATGATATGCCGGCTACTTTGAAAGAAACCATCTCGGGGTCTCTTGTATCCCCGGCTGCGAACTTTTTAATTTTAGGAATACAGGAGTCCAGAGGGTGGGGATAGCGCTTGTATCAGCTGTGATGCTGATCTGACCCTTGTGAGGGGGGTGGGGAGGAGGAGGCAAGCAGGAAAGGGCAGAGAGACAGAGTCTCAAGTTGCGAGCAGGTGGCTGTTAGTCTTGGCTATAACATAACCGGGCAGGGTGGGGGGCAGGGGTGATTCAGGGCAGATCACCTGTTAAGAGGAGCCCTGCGCTGAGTCAGAATGCTCTAGCCTCCTGCCCATTAACTTTGGCTTCGCAAAGGAAAACAGTGTGGGGCCTCTAAGACCCCAGCAGTGGGCTGGACTCAGACCCAGAGCGTGTCATGTGGCCCAAGAAGTTATATTCTAAAATCTGTGTGAGCGTGCCAGTCTCCAGCACTCGGCCTGCCTCACTCACACCCACTCCTGCGATCATGCGAGCCTGCTGCAGCCTAGGGACGTCTTTCAAGCATCTTCTTCTGAAAGTACATGCATGTAGACTTTAGCGGATCAGAGCAAGAGGTTGACTTGGATTTGGAGAGGCCATTCGGGCTCAGGAGTCAGGCACACTTGAGTTTGACTCCCCTCTGCCACCGCGGGCTGCTGGGTGACCTGAGGCAGGTCATGTGATCTCTCCCGGTCTCAGGCACACGCCGCTCTGAAATGAGGTAAACCCGAAGACAGCATCTCCCAGGGTCCCCCATCCTGCCCTAGCGCTCTGAGTTTCTGCCGCTTTGCTCTTCCAAGCGAACTAAAGAAAATAAAAATGGAGAGCAGAGCAGAAAGGCAAGCCGGGCTCTTGCAGGGTCTCAAGCTGTGTCCGCCTTCCTGGTCCGGAGAGTGATGAGCGGTGAAGAAGCATAGAAATGAAGCTTCAGCAGGTGACATCTCTGTCGGCTCGTCTCAACCGGCTCCGCTTAGACTGGTTGCTGCTGCTGCTGCCTCTGCAGAAGACAGAAAGTACAAAAGCACCAACTGCCTCCATCTGCTTCTTGTTTTCCCCGGCCCATTCTGCGTCCCTCCTCCCTTCTCCGGCACTTGTGATCCTGCCCTGTTTTCAAGACTCGCCTCAAAGACCGCCTGCCATCCTTCACGACCTCCTCCCTACAGCTATCCTAGATCCAGCCTGCCCCCCATCTCCCACCCGGACTGGGTGACCGGCTTCGATGAGGCCCTTTGGCCTCCCCGTAGCCCCCCACCAATCCCTTTCACCCAGCTAGCAGATATATAGGCAGCAGCCAATAGGGAATCAAGCCCCACATCCCTTGTTTACTTCTCTCCAGCCAGTTCATCTTTCAGTTCCTCCGGCCCACCACACACACACACACACACACTCCGTCACTCCAGCCCTCACACATTTCTCTTCCCCTGCCTCGATGATCGTCCCCCCCGTCGAGATCTGACTAACTCCTACCCACCCCCAGAGCACGCCCCCCTTTCTCCCTACCCCAATAATATTTCTCACCACTTCCTGTATTTTCCATCATTGCCCTTAAGAGAAGTAGAAACCCTATATTGATTTCTGTGAAAATCTGATGGGAGTTGATCTCCTCTGCTGCAACATGCGTTGGAGTAAGATCAGGCTCTGCTCTGTCTCCAGCAGAGCCCTGGGCGTATAGTAAATGCTTAACACAATCTTCCCGAACAAATGCACGAATGCCTGAACGAACAACATCCCAGATTTCTCCAGTTGTAGCTAACTATTCTCCCAGCTCATTGCCAATTCAACATAGATTAACACATTGCATCCGGCAGCCGTGGGAAGGTCTCCCAGAAAGGGAATCGTATTCTCTGCCTTTTTGTTTCTTTCTTCCAAGTGCACATTCATTTTCCTTGCCCCTCTTCCAGCTGCCGCACGAAGAAGGGCATTTGAGGGAAATGCCCCTTTTGGAGACTAGTTAGCACCGTTTCTTCCACAGCTCGCAGGATCCGACTCCCAGCGTGCCCACGGGGAACAAAATATAAACATATGTCCTCCTTCATGTCTTAAATATCTATGAAACATTTCCAAATTCACACCCTATTTAAAAAACACCCTGTGAGTGGCCCCAGAGATGATCGCGTTGGTTGTTAGGTTGCCTTCGCTGAGCTGACGGTTGTTTCCATGCCTTGTCCGTAAAGAGCTTGGCACGGCACCAGGAACACAGGTGTGGGACAAGTGTTTGTTGCTATTTCTTCCTCTCCCCCCACTGCCAGCCTGCCCGAACAAAGTCCGGCTTGCCCTGTCTGGATTCCTTCTTCAGAGTGCCTGCAACATCAGCGTCTCAGTCGTGCGTGGGTGCAGAGAAGGAGGCTAGCCTACCATGGGTGGTCAGGGATGCCTCGGCAGGAGGTGACTTTTGAGCGGAGGCCTGAAGGAGGAGCCAGTCATGCAAAGATCTGGCGGAAGAGTGTTCTGGGCAGGAGGCATAGCAAGGGCAAAGGTCCTGAGGTGGACGTAAGCTTAGCGCGTCTGGGAGAAGTAAGAAACCAACGTGGCCGAAGGAAAATTAATGGATGGAGAGGGGGGCTAGGGGGGTGATCAGGCAGAGAGTGTAGGTTTTGTTCCAAGTGTTTGTCTAAGCAATTGGAGGTTTTTAAACCAGAAACCAACATGATCTGATTTGTGTATGTAAATATTTATGCGTATAAATGTCTGGAGAATGGATTGTAAGGGGAATGCGCAATAATAGATGTGAGGAGGGGCGCCTGGGTGGCGCAGTCGGTTGGGCGTCCGACTTCAGCCAGGTCACGATCTCGCGGTCCGTGAGTTCGAGCCCCGCGTCAGGCTCTGGGCTGATGGCTCGGAGCCTGGAGCCTGTTTCCGATTCTGTGTCTCCCTCTCTCTCTGCCCCTCCCCCGTTCATGCTCTGTCTCTCTCTGTCCCAAAAATAAATAAAAACGTTGAAAAAAAAATTATAAAAAAAAATAAAAAAAAATAATAGATGTGAGGAGAGCAGTTAGAGGCTAAGTGACCTTAGACAAGTCATTTCACCCCCATGAGCCTCGGTTTCCTCCTCTGTAAAATGAGGACAAGAAAAGCCACCTCTGAGGCTTCTAAGATTTCAGTGATATGACCGCAGTTCCCCCAACACAGAATAAGGCCCCATTCAATATAGTCCACGGTTTTCTTTTTAAAAAACATTTATTTTTGAGAGAGAGAGAGAACCCACAAGTGGGGGGGGTGCAGAAAGAGAGGGGAGCGGAGGATCCAAAGCCAGCTCCCCACCGTCAGCACAGAGCCCGATGCGGAGCTTGAACTTGGGAACCTTGAGGTCATGATCTGAGCTAAAGTCAGACACTTAACCGACTGAGCCTCCCAGGCGCCCCGATATAGTCTACTGTTTTCTAGGTGAAGAAAGACCCCCCCCAAGGTTCCTCTCTGGTGTTTAATTCTTCCTTTGGAACAGAAACTTTGATACGCTTTGTTATTCAAACTCTGAGACATCAGTGGATTGCATGAGGTGTCCAGAGACATCCCTGCCAATTGTAACGAAATCTCGCGCAGAAGGGCATCCTGTGACAGCAGCACACGTAGGATTTTCCTTTGCTGGGAGGTTACATCCTGTAAGGTACGCGCGTTTGCAGACAGCAGGCTGGAAGCGTGAAGTAAACCTTGTCTCCGGAATTAGGCCGGGGCTGTCCATCGTGGACCGCCGTGGGTGCCCGTGGGTGGGTGATCATACAAGCCCCCTGTGCTCTGGAAGATAATCCACTGCCTTTCACAATAGGCAAGTGCATCAACCACGCTGATGCCACTCGGGACACTCCCCAGCAGCTGCCCAAATGCAGCAACTGCTCCGTCTGGACATACACACGATCTTCTTTCCAGACAGATGCGAGCACGTCTCAGACGACCAGCTCTCTCTTTTCCGGACGCATCAAGCGGGTTTCATGAGATTGTGATGATGGGTTAGAGACTGTGTTGTTGTTGTTGTTGTTGTTGTTGTTGTTTTTCTTGCTAGTGTGGACAGTTGAAGTATAATTTTCAGAAAGGTAAAATCATGACCCTCATGAAAACATAAAACGAACTCCTGTCAAAGGTTTCATTAAATGGATTAATGAATGAGAGAACCACTAGAATGTGAAAACTAGGTCAAAGAGCATTTGAGAATTTAGGTATTTGTAGGCAATTTAATAAAGGAATATTAAGGGGTGCCTGCCTGGGTGGCTCGGTTGAGTGTCCAATCTCGGCTCCGGTCGTGATCTCACGGTTCGTGAGTTCAAGCCCCGCGTCAGGCTCTCTGCTGTCCCTGCGGAGCCCGCTCCAGGTCCTCTGTCGCCCTCTCTCTTTGCCCCTGCCTGGCACGTGCGCTCTCTCTCTCTTTCAAAAACAAACACTTTTTAAAAAATAAAGGAATACTAAGAAGGGATTGCAGGACTCCTTCTAAATCCGGTGAAAGTCTGACAAAGTATTACACCGCAAACTTTCAAGTTCTTTTCTTACCATACAGAGATGATTCGCCTCTTTAGGAAAAAAATCTACAAAGTAGCACGGAGCTTCACTCAATCCTGGCCTTTAATCCATCCTCTTTATGAGGCTCTAAAACTGTGTTCCCTCTAAATGCTTCATCCCTGCCAGCTTCTCCGAGCTGAGCACCCACATTCACTGGAAATGCGCTTAGAACACGTTTGCGGGACAGGAATTGAGTGTGCTAATCTGCACTCAATTAGCTAGGTCCTGCAGCCCATTTTCTGGACATCTCAGTGGTCGTTTTCACCGAAAGCCGCCTGAGGGGCTGGGCAGAGAGTCACGGAGAGCATCCTTTTTGACCCTACTCTGGACAGAAACGGGGACTCTCATCTTGGTGCTGTCTCTCTATCTCCCGAAGACTTGAACACATTACACTACTCATTCTTATCTACCCACTAACTCAACAAGCAGATGATGAGCACCTACCACGGGCCAGAAGCCGGGGATGCGGTGAGAGCCAGGGAGATGCGCTCTCTTGGAGCCTGTGCCCGGACACAGACGCCAAATAGATGATCACCGACTTAATGAATTACATGTGAAGGTCGTCAGTACGGACCTGGAAACGCATTGAGCAAAAAAAAAAAAAAAAAAAAAAAAAATGGAGAGAACCAGGTGGGTCTGGGAGAGTCTGAGCGTGAAGAAATCCTTCGGCGAGGAAGAGACGTCTAAGATGCGTCTAGAAAGATGAGCGGGTCTCACTGGGCACAAAGCTGCTGACTATTTGGGGTGGAGGGTGTAGCCCGTGTGAAGGACTCAGGTCCCACAAAGGGCGGGGTGTGTGGGGCGATGAGGAACTGATACCCTGAGCCTTGGAAATGTAGGCGACAGTGAAATTGCGTAGGGCCCTGAGGGTTTGGGCAGAGTTGGGGCTACAGGGGAGCCCCAGGAGGCTCACAGAGCAGACCATCCCATGATCAAAACTGGTATCCCCGGACTCAAGCACGGGGAACGGTGCTGTACCTCGTGAACATTGAGCCAAGGTTGGCTGCGCTTGGGAAGGAATAAGTGACCGGCTAAGGGGACACTGCATGGGTCTCACCCCCAGAAGGCAAGCGGTGTTCATTAGCCCTAACTGGGCTCTCTGCTTTTCAGTGTCACCCCGTAAACTCACTCCACCTCCACCTGGTGGGATTTGCACCATCCCTCTCAGGTGAGCGTTTCGGGTCACCACGGATGGGAGAGGAGACGCCCACGGGCAGGGATGCCCTTCACAACACACATGCCCGTAACGCTGCGGAACCGTGTTCCCTCTTTTAAAAATGAGTTGGAGGGGCGCCTGGGTGGCTCAGTCTGTTAAGCATCTGACTTCGGCTCAGGGCATGATCTCGTGGTTTGTGAGTTCCAGCCCTGCGTCAGGCTCTGTACTGACGGCTCGGAGCCTGGAGCCTGCTTTGGATTCTGTGTCTCCCTCTCTCTCTGCCCCTCCCCTGCTCGCGCTCTGTCTCTGCCTCTCAAAAATGAATAAACATTTACAAATTTTTTTAATTAAAAAGAAATAAGTTGGAGCACCTGGGTAGGCTCCGTTGGTTGAGCGTCCCGCCTCGGCGCAGGTCATGATCTCACGGTTCCTGAGTTCGAGCCCCTCGTCGGGCTCTCTGCTGTCAGTGTAGAACCCGCTTCAGATCTTCTGTCCCCCTCTCTTTCTACCCCTTCCCTGCTTGTGCTCTCTCTCTCTCTCTCTTTCAAAGACAATAAATCTTTGAAAAATAAATTTTAAATGAAACGAGTTAATGGTGGAGTGTAGCGGGGAGGTGACCCCTTCCCAAGTTATCCACTCACAGGGGCATGAAGGCTGTAGCCAGTTCTCTAGTTTTCAGTAGTCTGGGCATTTCCAAGAATGTGTTACAAAAACATTTCAAGTTTCCATGACAAAGATTTTAAAAGAAACACAGCATCCAACAAAGAGCTCATGCACAGGTCATGGGGTGTGAGGAAATGGGCAGTCTCACACCCGGGGGTGGGGGGGTGGGGGGAGTATAAATGGGTCAGCCATGCCTGAGGGCAGTGAGGGAAGGAGGAGCCCCAATGACCGCCCTGCCAACTTCCCACCTAGAAGTTTCTCTGGGGAAATAAATAAGGAGGGTTGCAGATATTTAGCTATGAAGATGATCATCTTAGCGTTGTCATAGCTAAAAACTGGAATTAGCTAAAATGTCCCAGAACCTGAGGGGAAGGCATGATTCGTCCTTACAAGGGAAAACAGGACTGCTATTTAGAAGGATACTGAACAGGGGTGCCTGGGTGGTTCAGTCAGTTGAGCATCCAGCTTCAGCTCAGGTCATGATCTCACAGTATGTGGGTTCGAGCCCCGCGTCGGGCTCTGTGCTAACAGCTCAGAGCCTGGAGCCTGCTTCGGATTCTGGGTCCCCCTCCCCTGCTTGTGCCCTCTTTCTCTCTCTCTCTCTCTCATATAAATAAACATTAAATATAGATAGATAGATAGATAGATAGATAGATAGATACTGAAGAAAGCAATTTATTAACACAAAGATGTTCATAATCTATTATTAGTGGGAAAAAAAGATTGTAGCATACGATCCCATTAAGTTTTAAAAATATAACTGACTTGGGAGGCCTGGGCGGCTCAGTTGGCTAAGCATCCGACTTTGGCTCAGGTCATGATTTCACAGTTTGTGGGTTTGAGCCCCACATCAGGCTCTGTGCCGACAGCTCAGAGCCTGGAGCCCGCTTCGGATTCTGTGTCTCCCTCTCTCTCTCTGACCTTCCCCTGTTCTATCTGTCAAAAATAAACATTAAAAAAAATTTTTTTTAATTTTTTAATGTTTATTTTTGACAGAGAGAGAGAAAGAGAGAGAGAGACAGAGCATGAGCAGGGGAGGGGCAGAGAGAGAGGCTCAACGCAGGGCTCGAACTCACAGACCGTGAGATCATGACCTGAGCCGAAGTCGGACCCTCAACCGACTGAGCCACCCAGGGGCCCCTAAAAAATTTTTTTTAATTCAACTGACATGCGATGCCTGGAG